CGCCACCAGGTGCGCCGACAGGAAGGCGCCGTAGAGGCCGAAGGCCAGGAGGCCGTAGCGATCGGAGGCCAGCGGCACGCCGGCGGCGTAGGCCCAGGTCATGAGGCCCAGGATCAGCAGCGCGGCGAGCTGCCGGGGTGGGCTTGGGCGCGTCCTGCAGGGAGGCGGAGAGCAGAGGAGGGACGTGAGCCGGCCTTCCGCAAGGAGACCCCGGGTTCCCCCTCGGCCACACCAGAACATCTTTTGTAAACAATTCCCCCTGGACACTCCGGATTATTCTCGTTTGGGAAAACAGTCGTGGCAAACCGTTACGTAAGCTAATTTAACGCGCTTCTGGTGTTTCCAGAGACAAGGTCTGGGTAGGTTGCCCAGGCTGGCCTCCAGCTCGGAACCTCCTGCCGCAGCCTCCGTTCGCACATTCTCTGCTTCTCTTAAATCCGCGACATTGGGGCTGGCAGGTGGCATGGAGGATAAGGCGCTAGATTCCCACATGGCTGACCAGATCCAGGTTCAGCCTGCTTTCTCACTCTCCTCTCTCTCTCTGGTCAAATTAATAATAATAATGATAAAATAAATAAAATCACTCTCTTTTTTTAAAAAAAATCCACGAGGATTACACTTGAAGCGTCACAGTTCAGTTAGCAGGGCGTTCCCTCCTCTTCTCGTGCTACATAAAGTAAGCATTCACGGGCTGTAGTGGCCAGACCTCTGTAAAGCTGCCCTCGGGAAGGGGGCGGTTCAAGTCTGCAGACCTCCCAGAGAGCCAGGTATAGGCCAAGGCTTTGGAGGATGTCTGAAGGTCAGAAGTTAGTCTTTAGGAACTGACTTTTTAAAAGAATTATTTATTTAGTTTCATTTATTATTATTGTTGTTGTTAAATGTGTTATTGGGTTGGAGTGCAGTGTCCAGGCCCTGCTGGACGTGTACTTCCTCTGAGACAGGGATGTCTCCGTCATGGAAGAAAGGAAGGAGGGAAAGAAGAAAGAGAGAGAGAAAGAAAGAAAATAAACGTTCTTTTAAAAATAATAGAATAAAATAAGGATTCATTTCATATTCAAAGATGTCTTAGTGTTGAGCCAGTAATAATAATAATAATACAAAATGGTATGTACCAGTTACTGCACTAAGTCTTTCAGGAACTTTTTTAAAAAGAATTATTTAGTGACCAGCAGGTGGCAGAATGGTTATGTTGCTGGACTCCCACCAGGTTCGAGTCACGGACTGGGTGGCTTAAAACTCATGCCAGAAATGAGTGCACACATGCCCCAAATCCCAAGAAGTGAATGGAGGAGAACGAAGAGATTGTGGCATGGCCATCCTCCTGGGGGGGGCAGC